AGAGAGAGAGAGACTGCTGCGCCATCCTGAACTCCATTTCCCAGCAGCTTCCAAGCCAAACAGCCTTCAAAGGGGAGGCATGTTTGCACTCCTGCCGGAGCTGGCTTCCCCGCAGCAGGGTCAGGGGAGCGTGGGGGCGGGGCGGGGGAGAGCCAGCAAAAGCAGCCCTGGGGAGAGCCTTGGGTGGGCTTTAACTCCCCTCAGCGCCAGCAGCCCTGCCTCTCAGCAGAAATGGGCCGTGGAGGTGCTGGTCTGTCCTCCCCCCAACGCCAGCCAAACCGTTCCCGGGGAGAGGGTTCCTTCCGTCGGCCGGCAACAGCGAAGGGTCCAAAACCGGGGGGATCTCTGAGCAGGAATCCACAAACGGGAGCGTCTGATCAAGAGGAGCAGGATCTGGAGGGAGGGCAGAGGCTGCACCTGGCTCGCTGACTCAAGCTCCCGGGAGCTCTTTTGTGGGGGGGCTGATTTGTGGGGGGCTGGATGGCGGCTTGACGGGGTGTGTGTCTGCAGAACCTTCTGACTTCGTGAGCCTCCAGCAGGCAGGGGAGGTCTGGACTGTGTGGGCTTGGCCTGAAGGCACCCAGCTCCCTGCATAGCAGCAGCAGCAGCACCCCCAACCACCTGAGAAGGCACCGGCACTCCCCAGGCTCCGCCCCTCCCCTGCCAGACTTGGGCCTTCCTGGCCTGCAGGCACATGCTGGGCTCCCCTGCTGCTGGGTAGGACCTTGCTGCTCACCCCAAAGCAGAGGAGGGCTGGGCTGGCTGGCTAAGTTGCACTCAAGGATGAGCTTGAGAGATTATTAGTCTCCCCCCCCCCCAACAAAATACACACACACACACACACAGACACTGGGGGCAACGGTTGCTGACCCTTTCCTCCAGGCTTGGCTACAGCAGCGTTCACTCCCAGGCGAGGGAGCGGCACGCTAGTGTGCCCAGCACCCCCCCCCCTTGAAACAGACCACCCAGAGGCAGCAGCAGCAGCAGCCGTCGCCTGCTATCTGCCAGGGCCGAGTGTTTACCAATAACAGGAACCAGCTTTGCTGAATTGCCGGACTGCAGCTTTATAAGGAGAAAAGCCAGAGCCAGCAAAAGGACACGGCTTGGGACGGGCCTGCCTTTGGCCAAAGTCCCTGACGAGATGCGAGAGGAGTTCTGCTGGATCAGACGGAAGATCCATTTAGTCAGCATCCTGTTTCCAGCGGGGGCCGGCTGGTGGCCTTTGGAAACTCACAAAGCAGAGCGGGAAGGCAGCAGCCCTGCCTTTGTTGGGTCCAGGTTGACTGCCTCTGAACATGGAGGTTCCGTTTAGCCCTGCTGCTGTGCTCGGTCCGTTTATCGGGCTCTGGGGCGTGTGTGTGTGCTGCACCACCAGCAGCTCCGGGCCAGCCACAGGACCGTCCTTTACGGGAGGAGAACATGGGCCTGCCACCTGACAGCACTGAGTTCTTCGGGACAAGTCAAAGGAAGTCATTCCTTACATGAAACATAAGGAGCCCTGTGACGGAGTGTTGGACTAGATGGGCCATTGGCCTGATCCAACACTGGCTTCTCTTATGTTCTTATAAGTCACGATGGCTTTTTTAAAAGAAAAGCCTCAAGAACCAGAGGCAGTCTATCTGGTTATTAAATAACTGCAACAGGGATGCTCCAGGAAGTGTTTGGCTGGTTACAGCTGGAGGCAGAACACCGGGCCAGATCCGACAGTGACATTCTTACTCTCCAAGATACCCGACTGGAGAGCTTTTCCCTGCCCCAAGGGATAAACGGCCCCACTCACCAATCAGGGGCACCACTATGATGAACTGCCGGCAGTCCAAAAGTTTGGTGAGACCGTCCAGGTGGTCAATGAAACCGTTGGTGTCCGGCACCAGGAAGACGGGGCGGATCTCCAGTTCCATCTGCCTCACCTGTGCTTGGTCCTTCAGCACCGCCTGCAAAAAAAAAAAAAGTCTCAGCACATGGATGGAGCCCCAAGCGAGCCTCAACAGTAACTGCAGACCTGGGTGTTAAATTGCAACATGCCGCACACGGACTGTCCCCCACGCAGACCAATTATGTCCCCTTACGCAACTCCTCCCTCTCCAAATACTGCTCGCTTTACAGAATCCAGCCTGCTGACTGCTACCCATTTGGGGGACCACTGGAAGCCCTCTTGCCCTGCCCCCTGCAGTGGCTTTCCGGATTTCACACATCCTTCAGATGAGCCTGAGGCTTGCAAGGTATCAGCGGGTTTTTTTCCTCTCCTCCCCCCAGAACATTCTTATGTCTCCCCCCCAAACACAACCTCCCCTGTGATCCTAACAGCAACAAATGGAAAGTTGATTCCATCACCAGCAACACACCGGCCGTGTCCTGTTAAAAATCCAGGCATGGCATCACGTGTGCTCCGTAGTACCCAAATGTGCAGCTGATGCCCAGAAGGTGCCTCCCTGCGTCCCTGCCCCAGACTCCTGGCTGCTGTGAGCAAGGCCTGTGCCGGCCGTCACGTCCCATCCTGCCCCCTAGGATTGCCAGGGAGAGGACGGCCGGATGAGAATGGCTGTGGGGACGGTGCCAAGTCCCCCCCCCACACTCCCTGTTCAAGGAGCTGGAGGGGAACTCGCCTCAGCAGGGTTCAGAGGCCAGAGGGAGGTTTATTTGTGTTTGGCAGCTGCTGGCCAAGGGGGTAAGAGGGAGTGCCGACTTCCAGCCAGGCACAACAGGGGTGGGTGGGGGAGAGAAGGGGCTTCCTGCCAGGAAGGAGGGTGCCCGCATCAGAGTGAGACTAGGCGGGGGGGGGGGGGAAGCAACGCCAGGAAGCGCCTTGGTGCACCCTCGTCTGGTGTCCTCTGCTTGCTTGGGAAAGGCACTATTCGCAAAGGGCGGCCTCTGGGCATGTGCAGCCTGCGTTTCTCCTAGCCCCTATTAGCAGGGCTGGGACGGATGAGCAGGACTTCCAAGGAAGCAGGCCGGGCTTCTCTGGGAGAGGAGAACGTGCGCAGCCCGAGCTGGTGGCAGACGACGCCTCTGGCTCTGCCTGCTCCGTGGGATGGGAGCGGCTTCCTAGAATGTCAAAGTGGCGGGGGGAAGCCAGCTCTCGCCTCGAGGACCGACGTGCCCGCTGTCCAGTAGCGGGCCTGTCTGCTCCCACTGCCACCGCCGCGGTGGAGCCGCTCTTTGGGGGGTTGCCCTTCCGCTGCTGGCAGGTGTGCGCGTGCTGGCTCATTGTTTCCCAGTGCACAGGGCGAGCTGGCCAGGGCTATATTTAGCCAGCGACTCCCTCCCCTCCCGCAGGAGAGCAGCTGGGCCCGGAGAGGACAGGAGCATAACTATTTTCGGCAGTCCTACCAGAATGGGCTGCTCCCCCCCCCATCCCGACTCCACGGGAACCCAAGCCGCCGCCGCTACTGCAGCGCCCAGAAAAGAACAGGGGCTGCTGAGAGGAAGAGCTTGTTATGTTTCAGGTGGGATGTTCTCAGTGGCACAGGAAACGTGGCCTCCGCTCGCACAAAAGGACTAGGTTGCCTGAGCAACGTCTGAGGGGCAAAGTTGAGGACGCAACTCTGAGGATGGGATCAGTCGCTTCCCTTCGCCTGCCCCCTGGGGCTGGTTTTCGGGGCCCAGATCCTGGCCCGGAACACGAGATAGCAAAAGGAAAGAAAGTCCTTCTGAGCGTGTGGAGAGCGCCTGAAATCTGGATGTGAGGGGGCAGAGCTTGCAGACAGTGCCCCCTCATTGTTTTGTTACATGTGGTAATCAAATCCTGCCTGTCTTCCTTCACAGGCCACAAGGACTGGAGGAGTCCCCAGGAGGTCTCTGCTCCAGGCCTGGTCCAGACTCAGGCCTGCTTATAGCTTAGTTGAGAAGAAGAAGAAGTAGAAGAAGAAGAAGAGATTGGATTTATACCCCGCCCTTCACTACCCAAAGGTGTCCCAGAGCGGCTTACCAACTCCTTTCCCTTCCCCTCCCCACAACAGACACCCTGTGAGGTAGGCAGGGCTGAGAGAGCTCTGACAGAAACTGCTCTTTTTCAAGAACAGCTCTTATCAGAACTACGACTTGCCCAAGGTCACATCAGCAGGTGCAAGTGGAGGAGTGGGGAATCAAACCCGGTTCTCCCAGATTAGAGTCCGCGCACTTAACCGCTACACCAAACTGGCTCTCAAGGCGGCTGCATCATGGGCTGCCGGTCCGCCTCAGGAGAAGGCCGCTGCCCTGTGTGGAGAGGGCCCCGGGCCCCACCTGCTCCTCTCACACAACCCAGAAACTGGCCTCTGCTCTGCCAGCCCTGCTTCCTGTATTCATCCCCCTTCCCTCAGGATCACTAGTCGCCACCCAAAGCAGCTAAGTGGGGCCTGCCCTTGTTCAGCTCAGACTCGGCTTTCCAGGGAGAGCTTGGGTCAGCGAGCCCAGCCACCTGCTCTGAGTACTTCGTCTCTTTTAAATGCGGGGGGGGGGGAGGGGGAGACGAGGAAGAAACCCCGAGGCCTGAATGCCGCCTCCTCGGACTGGAAGTCTGCCTCCCCAGTTCCCAGGCGTGAGCAGGGCTGGCGTTCCTTCGCCGAGACCACAACGTCTGGAGTCTCTCAACGGTGGCACCACGCTCTTTTCCTCAGGAGCCAAACAGGGCATCTGCCAGGGGCCACTGAGGAGGAAAAAAGGCAGGGTTCCCTCCGCCTCAGAAACACGACGACCCTCGAGCTCCAGAACCCCAAATGCCACGCTGCCTCAGGGGTCCTTGTGGACTTGGATTGCGGGTGTTTCTCTGCTGCAGCCACGTCCCTTCAAGGCCCTGAGCAGACTCAGCTCTCGGGTTCCGCTGCTGCCCGGCTGGGACTGAGCGACTTTCATGCTCTCTCTCTCATGCGCACACACGCACGGGCGCCCCTCTCGCCTGCTAGAATCCAGGCCTGCTCCTCCTGGCAGGCAGAAGGCTCGCTGCGGCAGGCAACGGTGGGCCTGGAGAGCAAAGAGCGGTGGTTCTGGGCCTGCAGCCAATAGCCAGCGGGCACACATGTGCACGCTCTCCCAGTAGGGCCTTCAGCGGCCCTGTTTTACAACCACCTCGGCACAGACTCCAGAGTTCACGCATATGGCTAGACAGATGTGTTTGGCCGGCGTTCAAGGCTGGGAAATTAAGAGTTATGGAAGTGAAGGGCCCTGGGCACTGCAGAGGATGGAGGAAAGGGGGGGGGGCTGGAATTTCCCTCGGCTGCTGAGAAACCCTTCGCTGGGCTTCGGGGAGTCAGCCAGCGAGCGGGGTCGAGAGAAAGCCAGGCAGCCAACGCCCGTGGCCAGGACTTACTCGGAAAGGTCCGGTGCAGAGATGCTTCAACTCTGTGTGGGTGGGGGGGACTGCTGGGGCTCGCTCTCATCCAGTTCAGCCATGGTGGTGGTGGTGGTGGGGCTTTGGGAAAGGTATGTCCAAGAGAAAGTGGGACTGGATAGTCTGAAATGGCTGGAGATGGCTGGTCCCTCTGCCCCCAGACCCTCTGGCCTGCTTTTGCCTGCTCCAATGAAGACTGCAGGCTGTTATCGAGCCCCGCCCCCTCCTCCAGGATTGGCTCCCCGCAGGGCCATAGTGCAATTCTACACCTTTCCCCCAAGTGGACGTCTCTTGGGAGAGTTTTGCAAAGTGCTTCCCCCCCCCTCCTCCGGCTCTCCTCCCTGAAGAAATGCTACACCCCCAGAAATGGGAAGATCTTGGGTCCTTCTCATGCAATACCCTGAGGTGCTTCCCCTCCCACCCACCCCAGCCCACCTGGATCTTGTCTTGGCGGCGCTGCTGCTCGGCAACCTTCCTGGACAATGCTTGCTTCCTCGCCCGGAGTTCCCTGATGTCCAGCTCTCCACCACTGCCTTCGGTCTCCGAGTCGTCTTCAAAGGCCTCGATCCTGACATCCTCCTCCTTCTCGCAGAATGGGCGCGATGGAGAGAAACAGGGGGGAACGTTGCAACGCGAGACAGAAATTCATGTGTTTGTCACCTCTTTCCCATGAGAAATCCTTGGACTGTAACACTGGAGAGGCCACTGAGCGGCTGGGGAATCCAACTCCCCCCTTTCTGTACTACAATTCCCAGAATTCCCTGGGAGCATGAGCCCAGCTCATTCCATCCCTCCAGAAATGGCCAGGGTGCTACCAGAAGAATTTCCTGCCAATGTGAGAAAGGACACAGCAAGAATGTGTGTACGGGGCATGCAGCCAACCTGAGCATCCTGGCTCATACAGACAAGCGCCCTTGAACGCACACATTTGCGACACGTACACTTCACGAGGGTTTTACCGGAATAAACGGAAGACATTCTGCCACGGATGGAATCCACGGAGAACCCCTACAAAGAGCACAGCGGGCTCCACAGCTTTGGGGCCAGAGGCCCCTACCCTTCCCTAACGGGCCTCATCTCCAGCGAGATCCTACACAAGACAAGTGTAGCTCTGTGGAGTGGCTGGCAGGGACGCCATAGACACACACAGGCACAGCCTGCAGAGAACCCCGGGCTAAAGGAACAAGCCAGGGCAGAAAAAACAAGAGGAGAAATTCCTTAATCACATCAGGATGTGAACGGCAAGGGAGGGCGGACGGGTGGGGGGGGGAGGAGGAGAAGAGCCAGCACCAATCCCTCTTCCTGTACGTGTGTTGGAGGCTGCTGTTCAGTGCTGTCCCCCCCCTCCGCCCGCTCCACTGCTATAAACTCGATCCTGAGACTGAACCCTAACCCCCCCCTCACCCTGCTCTTCCTCTCCACCCCCTTCCTGCTGCGCCGGAGCTGCACATTATTAAAGCCCTGCTCCCCCCACTGAATCGTATTTGCAAGGCGCATCTGGAACTCATCGCTGTTGCCAGAGAGCCAGAGAGAAAAGGCTCTTGGGTGGGACTGGCAGGAAGGGGCACATGAGCACAGCATGCTCGGGAGACATTGCACAGCAAACCCCCCCCCCCCCTTATAAATAGCAGGCCAGCCCAGGCCCACTGGGGGCCTCGCTCCTGCCGTGCATGCCCTTCCCACCCAGTACCTGATCTTGCAGTTGTTTTCCCTCTTGGCTTGCCATTTCCTTTCCCATGGCGTCTGGGACGGGGGCCACTGACACATACTTTCCACCCTTGAATGCCAGCAATGGCTCTTCTTGGCCACAAAGGGCTTCCAGGAAATACTTCAGCACCGTGACCCTCTTGCAGTCGGCCGCAATAACCTACAAAGTGAGGATGGGGGAGAGGAGAGAAGAAGAAGGGAAAACAAAGTCAGAGCACTGAGGGTGGGTCGGGGGTGGGACACACACACACACACACACACTCACTCAAAGGCAGACTTTCATGAGACCTGGTTTTGAGTGGCACCTTTGCTGTGAATCAGAGGGCATGCCACGGGTGTTTGTAGTTGGGTCATAGCCATGGCCAAGGAGGGAAGAGCCCCCCACAAAGGCTCTTGATTTGAGGCTTGAGCCCCGGCACCTTTTTTCGATAGCGGATCATCTCCTCCTCTCCCCTTCACAGCACATGTAAAGCGCAGCACAGCATGCTCGCTCAGAGCAAGACATGACCCGGAAGGCTGGGCAGAGCTCGCTGCAAAGGTGATTCCGACCCAAGCCTCCAGTGGGCGACTGATCGAGAGAAGGGAAGGCGTTTGGCCCCCTCACCCGCGGATGCTTGGCGGCCTCTGCTGTGTGTGTGTGTGTGGGGGGGAAGGCCGAGGGGCTCTTCAAACAGTGGAAGGTCCAGGTGGGTGTGGGAGGCAAGTGCAGAAAGCCACGTATCCCCTAACTGCCAGCTTCCCCGGGAGGCGGGCGTGGGCACAGCCTAGTCTCAGCTGCTGGGATCTGTGCGTGTGGCACACGGGCGTGACACAGAGATGCTAGCACAAGGGGAGACATTTAACAGACAACTGGCACCTTTTAGAGGAATAAGCTTTGCAGTTACACAGAAGCCTTCAGCAGGCAGGGAAGTTGTTTCCTTTTTTAAAAAAATTGGTATTTTTAATCGGTTTCCTCACTCATTCTCCCCCCACCCCCACCCCCAAACCCTATCTTCTTCTCTTTGTAAACTTGAGCATAGAATGATAAGAAGGAAGATCCTGCCGGCTCTCCCAGGCTTCTGAGGAGCTTTCAACACAACCACAGTGGCCAACGAGAATTGTGGGGTGTGAGCTTCCCAGAGTCAGTGCTTTCTTTGTCAAATACTGGTACCTGATGACGGGAGCTTTGACTCTTGAATGTTTATATTCCGGAAAAAAAATTTTTTTTGGGGGGGGGGGTATTTTTGCATTTGTGTGTGTTTGCCCATGCCTGGAAGTCCTGGCGGCCTCTGGCGACTCCTACTGGGGCATGGGGGACATTCAGAGAGGTGGCTTGGTTGCCTGCCTCTGCCTCCCGGCCCTGGTATTCCTTGGAGGTCTCCCACCTGAACACTTGCCAGGGTCGGTCCCGCTTAGCTTCTGCGACCTGACGAGACTGGGCTTGCCTGGGCCATCCAGGTCAGGGCTAGAAAGCTCATACCCTGCAGATCTCGTTGGGTCTCTTAAGCTGCTCCTGGACGCGGGTCTGTTTTCCTGCAGACCGACACGGCTACCCCTCTGGAATGATCTTTAAAATCTCGTTGGTCTCTTCGGTGCTACTGGATTCCTTGCTAGCTCTTCTACTGCAGACCAGCCTGGCTATCCTCTGAAATGATCGATCGCAGTATCCTTCTGGATCACTGGGTTGGGAGGCTTTTTAAAGTAGCCCCATTGTTTCCCCTGGGCAGGCCCTGGGAGACGGCCCTGGGAGACATCTGCAGTCAGGTGGGACCCCAAAAGTCTTATCTTAGCTCATTAACATCTAGATCATGGATGTCAAACATGTGGCCCGGGGGCTGAATCAGGCCCCCGGAGGGCTTCTATCAGGCCCGCAGTGGAACTGGCTGTCTTCTGCATCTTCTTCCAGTTCTGCTGCTGCTGCGTCATTGTAGGTTTGCAGCTTATAGATACACACCTGAACAGCACACTCAGGATTGCAACAGCACAGACATTTTGATGCAATAATTCAGGGCAAGAGGTGTCAGTTACTGGACACTGTTAAATAAACAAAATATTGTAAGAGTGCTAATGTTTAAAGCTTTAAGTAAAAAAAACCACCTTTGTGTTTGTGTCCTTTATAAAGTTTATATCTCCACTACCTGGCATTACATTTTATGACACACGTGGACCGGCCCAACGAAGTCTCATTTATGTCAGATCCGGCCCTCATAAGAAATGAGTTCGATACCCCTGACCGAGATGACTCTCCTGGGAGAGATGTCAGGAGACTTCAAGTCTGGAAGCATCAGGATGCTAAAATTCCCATCTCTCTCTCTCTCTGTCTCCTTTCTGCCCAGTTCCAAGGAAGTGCCAGACAACTTGAACCACTGGCTGGGCTGGGTTTGTGGATGGGCAAACCAAATGCTACTTCTCCCAGGTGAGATGGAAGCGCCATGATTGGGAGTACAGCTGGCCTGGGGAACAGGTACACAAGCTTATTCTGGTAGGAGTCATAGCTCCCTGCAAGCACATTCATGGTCTGACAGTGTTTTTGATTTTGTTGCTGGCCCTGGATAAGCAGGTGGCCGCAGTAGCCAGGGTGCCTTTTACCAGGCTAGCCTGGCTCACCCCGGAGCACGGTCACTGTTGTGCCTGCTTTGGTAACAACCCAACTGGATTACTGCGCTGTCCTCCACAGGGGACTGCCTTTGAAATCAATCTGAACTCGGTGCATTGAGGCGTCGCTTGCACCGAGGTTTCTGAGACTGCTGTTTCACTTTTAGGTGCCTGTTACACTGTTTTGTTTCTACTTTTCACTGCTGTTAAAAGGTTCTTTGAATGGGCTGTCTGAAATTTGCTGCCACAAAGTTTTTTAGTGCCTTTTACTATCTTTCCTGCTGCTATTAGTAATGATTTTTGTTACCCACCTTGTTATTTTTATTACTGTTTTAATTCTCAAGGCTCAGAGGGGTCAAAGAGGTGGGGTGTAAAGTTTCCAGAGGAATACAATAAAGACAAAAGGAAGAGAAATAAAGACACATCCTTCTTTAGGACATTTGCCAGGAAGAATTCCGGGAGAAAATGACATGAGGAGCGCTTGTGACCTGTCAGTCAAAGGTGGTCCAAACAAGAGGCACCACAGAGCCATCAAGGTGCCTCTGCTCTCCAGTAAGGCCCCGCAGGCACTGTGGAGAACTATGGGGCATGCTTCTGGGCCCATACATGTCCATTTAGCCATGGTGCCTAAGCAGAGCATGCAATCATACCAGCAAGATACTTCTACAGTCCAGGTTGTGGGGTCCAAAGTGGAGATGAGCTGCTGCCCCGCTTGTGAACTTGGGGGAGGGGGGAGGAAACTGGCAGTCCATCCAACTGCTGAAAACCAAACACTGGACTGGACGGCTCTTTGGCTCAACTCTGCCTCTCTTTTAATGTGCTAAGAGCCACCATGAGGATGATTTTACCCAGCTCCTCCTTTGGGTCTCTGCTTCTACTCTTCTTTGCCTGGGCTGTGCCAGTCATCATACCTGTCCCCTCTCCCTCAATGAAGCCATCACAGCACCAGGGAGAATGAATGGCTTGCCTTTGCTTCCTTTTCCCTGCTAGGAACTGGAAGAATCTGGAAACCCTTTTCCACAGACACCTTTGCTCTCAAAGGCTGGAGGCCTGGCTTAAGAGAGGGAGGAGGAGGAGATGGGATTTATACCCCGCCCTTCACTATCCAAAGGAGTCTCAGAGAAGCTTACAAACTCCTTTCCCTTCCCCTCCTCACAACAGATGCCCTTTGTGAAGTGGGTGAGGCTGAGAGAGCTCTGACAAGAATGCTCTTTTTCAAGACCAGCTGTGCTAGAACTATGGCTTGCCCAAGGTCATACAGCAGATGCAAGTGGAGGAATCAAACCCGGTTCTCCCGGATTAGAGTCCACGCACTTAACCACCACACCAAACTGGCCCTCATGGTCAGCACTAAAAGTAACCCACAGAAGAGCTCAAGGCCTCCATTGCCCACCGGACCCCACCATACTGCAGGGAAACGAAGGGGACAGGAACCCCCTCTCCAGAGTAGAAAGGCAAGCAGCAGGAGACAGAGGGAGAAAGATGGGGGGGGGGGGAGAGAATCCAGGACAGTTGGTGGAGTGTGCTGGTTCAAGGGGTGGAGAGGGATGCCAAGCACAACACACGCATGCCTGATCTGGGCACCAATTCTCCCTTTGGGGTACTGATGGCTTCCAGGTTGGTGTAAGGCTCACTAAGAGAATGTAATGTGGAAGGCTTGGAGCACTTTACTGTTTTCACACAGCACACTTCCTATTTTGCTGGTCATCTATAACACATGAATGGCCCCTTTCCATAGCATTGCTCAAGGCCATGTACAAAACAGTGCCATCAACAAATGTAAAGTCAGTGTACCAAAGTTACAGTAAAAACTTAAAAACAGCTACAGGAAGGAAGGAAGGAAGGAAGGAAGGAAGGAAGGAAGGAAGGAAGGAAGGTTGCATTATGAAATCAGAGGGCTTAAAGGCATTAAGAATTAAACTGATTATTTTCTGGTTACCTAAACTACTGACAGAGGCAGCTGGGCTTGACACTGCTCACTTGTTAAGGTGTGTGGGTATACTGAACTGGGGTTCAAAGCAATGACTTTGCACACAGAAGGTCAGAGAAATCCCCAGCATCTCCTGTTATTTTATTTACTAGGCAGATGTTTGCTTATTTACTTAATTAACCATTTGTATCCCACATTGTCAGACATATCTGACTTCCAAGATGACTTCCAATCAAAAATTAAGAACTCGTAAGTTACAGTTATACAATCACCACCACAACGACTTTGAAAGCACTAGCATCAGATAATCACAATTTCAGCAGAGCACCTATGGAAACAGGCAGCAGCACACTCAAGATACACTCGGTGGGGGCATTTGCACACACAAGAACCAAAAAGAGGCCATTTCTAAGCCCAAGGAAATGACTGTGCTGTGGACAAGTTAGAAGGGAGGCGACCCTGGACTTAATCCCGAATGGTGCTTAAAACCTGGTGTGAGATGTAAGCATTGCTAGGAATAGCAACCAACTGCTATTCAGTTCTTCAGGTTTGTATATGAAAAATTACCCATCACAGCCCATCACAGATACATCTGGTTTCAGAAGAAGAACCTTCTAAAAAGGTTAGGGGCCAGCCAGAAGAAAGTTGAAAGGGAG